TGATGATTTACCAGAACCCTCCCATGGATATGCTTCCTGAGTACATCCTGACTTCCCCTCTGGAACAGGACACTGCACCCCTCCCAACAGCTCCCTGCTCTCATGGGGGCCTGTGCAATGAATGGCTCCATGAAGCGTCATTAACTTCATGGGTTTCTCTGCTACTCAGCAATCCTACTTCCTTCATCTGGATAGTGCACTCACTAGTCTACTTTCTGAAATAACTCTTCTTCTTAAATAAGAGCTTTATTGAGGTATAATTCACAAGCCAAAAAATTCATATTTTTTCACGTGTACAATTCAGTGATTTTTAGAATGTTCACAAAATTCTTCAACCTCACCACTATCTAATTTCAGAATATTTCATTGCCCCAAATAGAAACCCCGTTCTCATTTGCAATCACTCCTTATTCCCCCTTCCCTCTCAGCCCCTGAGAACCACTAATCTTTCTGCTTCTATGATTTGCCTCTTTTGGACATTTCACATAATGGAATCATACAATTTGTGACATTTTGTGACTGGCTTCTTTCACTTAGTGTAAGTTTTAAAGGTTTGTCCATGTTGTAGAATGTATCAGTACTTCATTTCTTTCTATTGTTAAATAATATTCCACTGTATGGATACACCACATTTTGTTTACCCATTTATCAGCCGATGGACGTTTGGCTTGTTTCTACTTCTTGGCCATAATGAATAATGCTTACAATAACTCTTAAACCTTCTTCAGATTTCTCAAATTTTCAAACCCTCTACTTTCCCCATCAATTGAATATCTTTCTTATAGCTTCCCCAAAAAACCAAAGTGCTCAACTGGAAACTCCTTTGACCTCAAGCCATCAAACATCAAACATGCAAACCTACATATTATCTCAACTCCTCTTACTCTCCCTCCTTCCTATGGCAAATAAGGACATTGCTTTCCTCCAATGAAAGGCCAATCCCTCCACTGATGCTTTGGATTTCATCCCATTGCCCCTTCTCAAGAACCTCACCCTATAAAGTATCTTTTTATATCTAAATACTCTATTCTCAATAAAGTTCTTTCCATCACCATGTGCATGTGTGTGTTCAAATAAAACTTTATTTACAAAAACAAGTGGTGATCCAGTTTGGCCAAGGGTCATAGTTTGCCAGTTTTTGTACCACCATGATCTGATTGAGTGTACATTCATACACACACAGCCATGTTTTTTAAAATGGAAGTGTACTATGATGCCCTTTAAAGTAGTTATTATGAGGGAGAATCTTATGTGAAGTTGCTGATAACATGCAGTTGCAGATTATTTAACTCTTTCCTAGTGTTAGCACTATTCTTCTGCATAAACTACTGAATAATTAAAGTGAAAGTTGGTTGCATTGTATTTGACAAAAGGATTGTAGGCAATAGATTACAGTCATCTAAAACTGAGTTACATTATACATGATATTTTCAACATACATTTCTTTTGTCGAAGTATCATTTTAAACATACATCTCTTCTGTTAAAACAAAATAATGTGAAAAATGCTCTACATCTTATATTTCTTTTTAGCTACCAGTTTTTCCCTCTTCTTTCACAGCCAGACTTCTATTAAGTGTTGCTATAGTTTCTATTTCTAGTTCTACATCTTCCTTCACTCCTCAACCTGCTTCTTTCTGGCCACCATCCCAATTTCTCTCTTATACTTGAAAAGGTCATTCTGACCCCCACATCACTAAATCGAACAAGAATTTTCAGTCTTTATATTTCTTTTCTTTTCTTTTTTAAGATTTTATTGGGGGAATTGGGGAAGGGAACAGTGTTGGGGAATTGGGGAAGGGGAACATTGTGTTTTCCCAGGACCCATCAGCTCCAAGTCAAGTTGTCCTTCAATCTTAGTTGTGCAGGACACAANTCCCAATTTCTCTCTTATACTTGAAAAGGTCATTCTGACCCCCACATCACTAAATCGAACAAGGATTTTCAGTCTTTATATTTCTTTTCTTTTTTTAAGATTTTATTCGGGGAATTGGGGAAGGGAACAGTGTTGGGGAATTGGGGAAGGGGAACATTGTGTTTTCCCAGGACCCATCAGCTCCAAGTCAAGTTGTCCTTCAATCTTAGTTGTGCAGGACACAAGCTCCTAAGTCCAGTTGCCATTTTCAGTCTCATTGCAGGGGGTCA